GTTCCATTTAAGCCAAATTTGACAGATATAGAGGCTTAACATAGTAAAGAAAGAAATCTTGCAGACAGAGCAAAATAATACAAAAAAGGACCAGAGGTTTACATAAGTTAGGTATAGTGGGAGCATTTTAGGAAAATTTGGTCTGAGTGGATCCTGGCATGAGAAAGGGGACTAGGTAGAAGAAGTCATATTAGAGTTGGAATAAACATAGGTACTTATGGTTTTATTGTACATAGGCCTTTCAACAGCCTGCTATTTCAGAAGTGGATGGCCAATCCTTCTTCCTAGTCTGTCTTAATCTGAATGTTCAGATTTAGAGAAGTATCCAACAGACAAACATTTCACAGAAGAGGTGAAAGATACAACCCTTATTATGGAATTAACCATATTTCAGTGTTGTCCCTACCCTTTGCACAAATTTCTTGACCCACTTACTTCCCTGCTCCACCATCTACCAGGATACCCATCCACTTCCACCCACTCCCTTCAACATCTATCTCCCATTGTCCAGTCCATCTCCCATTGTCCAGCCCTGATCTGATAGCTTATATCTGAAGCTTCCCTTGGCTTCTGTGATTCCAAACGTGTCTGCTGCTGACAGTTTCTTATGCTTTGACCAGTGTCTCTTAAGTTAAGTGGTAACAAACAGATTTATCCTGGAGAGGGTTAAACCGGGCTGCTCCTTGGAGGCAAGGATTCTGACGCTTAGTCTAACATACTTTGGACATGTTGTGAGGAGAGACCAGTCCTTGGAGAGGGACATCATGCTTGGTAGGGTGGAGGAACAGCACAGGAGGGGAAGGCCCCTCTATGAGGTGGATTGATTCAGTGACTGGGGTAATCGGGATGGTGTATCGGAGACAGTGCGATTGGCACAGGACAGAGAAGAGTTTAGGGCTATAATAGGGTCGCTATGAGTCGCAAGCGACTCAATGGCACAAAACAACAGTAACAGCAACAGCTTAAAGTTTTAGTGCTAAAGGCAATGAACAGCAGTGAAAATGTTCTAAATTCTGAGAGTAGAGATAGAAAGAGGAGTGTGGCCAGTGATAGGGAGACTAGTTACTAACGGCGCTTTCTTTGACCTAGAAGAAAAATCAAGAGGATCTGAATTGAGGTGATCTGAATATAATACAGTGATTAGAAAAGCACAATGTGAGTAGGTCCCAGGTTTTTTACTTGCAAGGCATTCCTAAGACAGGAGAATCAGAAGTGGGTTTCAGGAGTAAGATACTGAGTCTGTTCATGCATGTTAAAGGGTGCTAAGAATACCTGTGAGCTTCGCCCCTGTACCACTCTCAACTCAGTCTTGCCTTCTAATGTGCTTAGTCCAGTCTGTTGTCATTGCGTGCCATCGAGTCACCGACTCAGTCGAGCCTGAGCAGCTGGTATTTCCCTGAGTTTACCAGGCTGTGTTCTCCTTTTTGCCTCTGACTGGAACATCTTTGGCCAAGTGCTGCTCATTCTTCCAGACTTCCTAACTTGTATGTAACATCCTTAAAGAAGCTCTACCACCACCAGGGACAGGTAGCATTTTATTGTTATCAAGTGCTCTCCAGACCACTAGGTTCAAGACCACACCCATACACAACTGTGAAAGGTTAGCAAGTCCTGCACCATCTTCAGGGTCTGTGGCACAAGCATGCCCATTGTGGCAGCCGCTGTGTAGTCGAGTGCCTCCCAACCTAGGGGCCAAGGATGCTACAGGTGGTGGTTGCTGTATACCATTGATTCAGAACCACCTCACTGCTGACCTCCCAGAGGTGGCAGAGGCTATAGATCACAGGGGAGGAGATAGTCCATCTTTCTCCCAGGGAGCAGGTGATGGATTCTAACCACTTGCCTTTAGATTAACAGCATGACCCACTAGGTTACCTTGCTGGTGTTTTAAATACTGGTGGCATAGCTTCTAACATCAAAGCAACATACAAGCCAATGCATTACAGCAAACTCACAGATGAATGGTAGAGGGTCAGTATACTTGTGTTTAATTCTGTCAGCAGCCACCTGCTCACTCCCTCTCTCTGGAATGATTTGCATGCATGTCATCACCTCTACCACTGTGACCTCCCCTCACCCCTAAGGCAGGGAGGGAGCATTTCTGTATCCACTGTGCCTGGCCCAGATGGGAAGCAAGATATCAGTAAAAATGTGTTAAATGAGCAAATCCAGATGGACACATCCAGCAGAGAGCTGAAAAAGCCAAGACAGGATGAAAGGCACGAAAGACGAATGTGATCAAATATGCCTGTGGGAACATTACCATTGTCTCCCCCTCCTGGCTCCCCCAGGTACTACACTGTCTAAAGGTAAGTGATTACTCAGGCCCATCATGGCTTTTGACTATGTAGGAAATGCAAGAGAAAGAGAGGAGAAGAAACCCAGAGACCTAAGGAGGGGACTGGATGACAGTTTGGGAACTGAAGTAGCTCTCCTAGCCATTCAGGAGCCATGTTTAGAAAAGAGGAAAACTGGCCTGAGCTCCTGGTTCCCTTCTTTCCAAGACCCTGTTTTCTACCACCATCTACTGGCCACATCTATAAATAACAGCCTCCCCATAAACTGAGAGTTCGAAGAATTATGAATTCCCAGAAATAGCAAGCAAAATTGAATACATATGACTGGCTGATTCATTGATTCACAGTTGACCCTGCAGCATGTTTTCAGAAGCTATAAATCACAGAGGAAGAGATTGTCTTTTTGGTGGATTCAAACTGCCTACCTTTGGGTTGGCAGTACAACTCCTTACCCATCAGGCCACCAGAGTGAGATTTACTTTACTTTACTCTGACGTGAAGATGCCAGAGCTTTTATCATGTTCCTAAATAGATCTGTAGCCCCCAAAAGACTAAGAATCGGTACAATAAAGGTGTGTTTAGGAGAGTGATTCTTAACATTTTCCCCAAAGTGAAATCTTAAAGAATCATGTTGTTCTTGTTGTTAAGTGCCATTGAGTTGTAGATGACTCATAGTGACCCTATGAACAAAAGACCTGAATATTTGTATAACTTTCATCGTTTTCTCCAAGTTCACAAAGTTTCCAGAGGCAAGCTATTTCGGAAATGGATGCCACTCCTACTTCTGAGCTTATTTTAATCAGGGAGCTCCACCATACACTGTTGACCATAGGTAACCATTATTGCATCTGACACATCAGTGTCACAGTGTTTAGCATCACAGTGACCAAGAGTTACCTCTGTGCAGCAAATGGACAGATACCACTTAGAAGAATGTTTGACCAAAAACAATTAAAAACCTGGCCTGAGGGCCGCAGATTAAAATCACCCACCTTTGGATTGTTAGTATCACTTTCTGTCCACTAGGCCAACTGAGCTCTATGTTGTTAAGTGGTGCTGAGTCGTAGATGACTCATAGCAACCCTAATGCACAAAAGACCGGAACATTTGTATAACTTTCATTGTTTCTCCAAGTTTATAGAGTTTCCGGAGGGAAGCTGTTTCAGAAGTGGATGCCACTCCTGCTTCCAAGCTTGTTTTAACAAAATATTATTAGATAAAATACATTCTCAATTAGTTTGGGTATTCTACTCTACAAGAGAAAACCAACCTCTATCATAAGAGACAAAAAAGCAGACATTCTCAGAACCTCACCCTCCAGTTCCCCAAGGAACTTATGCAGAACACTGAATACACTTTAAAACCACTCTTGTAACAGCAAAGGCATGTAGAGCATCAGCGACAGATACCCGAACCATTGCCATTGTTGGTTCTGACTCATGGAGATCCACACCCCTTGTGAGTTAACATAGAATTGTGCCACATAGGACTCTCAGTGGCTGGACTTTAGGAAGCGGATTGCCAGGCCTTTCTTCCGGGGCTTCTCTGAGTAGACTCAAACCTCTGTCTTTTCTTTAAGCAGCTGGATGTGTTATTTGTTTGCAGAAGGGCCTTTGGAGATCATCGAGACCCTCTAGATCACACTCCCAGAGCTCTGTTGAAGGTCCATGGGGAGATGCTGCTGACACAGAGGCTGAGCCTCCCTGGCAGCAGCTTCAGGAAGAACATGGGTACTCTCTGCCCATGCAGTTTACCATCCTGAAATCTCAGTGCAGGGACACCTATGAGTCAGTTCCAACTCAGTGACAATGAGCAGTAGTGCAGACGACAGGAAGAGGGCACCTGGTGAGTTCACAGAGCATAGCAATAGTAGTTATGGAACCTGAACACAAATCTCCCCACTCCCGGCTCTTTTTATTGCTCACTCTTAACCTTGTTTTCAACAAAAATCTTAACTTCTTAAAGAGAAAAGAATTTTTTTCTTACTTTAAATATAGTTCCCAAGTGGGAAAACCATTTTTTCCCTATTGATTTCTAGTCTTCAAAAAAGAGATTTTCTTTTCTAAATGCCTCTTGACAAAGCACTTGTTACCTGATAGCAGGTACCATAACTCTCTGGCTTATATTTGAAAATATTTCTTATACACCATCAACACCTACATACTTTACAGTGAGGAAACTGAGACTCAGAGAGGTAAATCCGCTGTTTTATGAGACCAACTGAAGAGTTCTTTACAATCTCACAGTCCTTGAATTAAAATGTCAGTAGTAGTGCTTGAAACAAATGGGGGGGGGGGCTTTTTTTGAATACTTGCGTATTAAATCAGTGATCAGTTGGGCAGTATAACTGGCTTATTGATATATGTTTGGAAGGTAAGACCAACTCTTGCCAATCATAACCATTTGGGAGTTAAAGGCTAACTCTAATCTACATATTGGATACACTGGATGCTGTTTTCTGAATAACCTTCAAAATGTGCTTCTAATCACTATTTTGGTGATGTATAAACTAAAGCGCAGAAAGAAAAGGTGCCTTGGCACCTTGCCATCACGCAGCTAGCGACTGGCAAGTCCAAGGTAAGCTTCAGATCTGCCTGCCTCCCAGCCCAGGCATCTTCTATACCAACCAGCTGCATGGGGATTTGAACACTCCAATGCTGGCCTCCTCTCACCTCTGCCCTTCCTCTTCTTTCTCTCTCTTAGGAGTGCCAGCTTCTCTCAGGGCACCAGGGCTTCCTTTCTCGTGAGGAGTGACACAGCTGTACAGAAACTTGCCCAGGGAAACGGGCATTGTGTCAACGGTGTCGGTGGTCAAGTCCATGGCTTCTATAGCCTCCCCAAGCCTAGCCGGCACAATGCAGAGTTCAGAGACAGTACCTACGACCTCCCCCGGAGCCTGGCCTCTTACGGCCCCACCAAGGGCAGCCTCACAGGCTCTGAGACAGACAACGAGGAAGTGTACACCTTCAAGACACCCAGCAACACCCTGTGCCGGGAGTTTGGGGACCTCCTGGTGGACAATATGGATGTTCCAGCCACTCCACTCTCAGCCTACCAGATCCCTCGGACATTCACGCTGGACAAGAACCACAATGCCATGGCAGTGGCCACGCCTGGAGATTCAGCCATAGCTCCTCCACCCCGGCCCCCTAAACCAAGTCAGGTGGAAACACCTCGGTGGGGTAGCCCTCAGCAGAGACCACCAATCAGTGAAAACAGTAGATCAGTCTCTGTTGCTGCCACCATCCCCAGACGCAATACCCTTCCTGCAATGGACAATAGTCGACTTCACCGAGGTCAGTATAAGCCCCCGTTGAGACCCAGAGGGAAAGAGTGATAGCAAAGGGCTTCTCGGTAGTTTATTAGACCTTAGTTATCCATAACAGAGAGAGCTTTATGATAACATTAAAGTTATGGAAATTTATGGCAACAATGATGAGGGTATAGAGAAGCGTCAATGCCTGGATCAATTGTGAGTGCACAGGGATCTTCCTTCCTCTGTTTTAGCTGCTTCTTGTGAGACCCGTGAGTACTCTCAGCGTGGTGGAGAGACTGCAGACAGAGCCTGATCCTCTCGGGGGTGGGTTCAGCCCCTTCTACCTGCTAATGGCTACGAGTGATGCCCACAGCAGCACGAGTGTAGCAGACATTGCCTTGGGGAAGTTAACGTTCTACTAAGAGAGCTAAAACATTCTCAGCTAACCACAACACAGCATATTATGGGTTTGAAAGTCTAAATCATAGTATTTTATTCATTTATAAATCAGACCAAAGATTTGAAAGGCAAATTTAGAGAATGAGTCAAAACCGAAGCCAAGCCTGTGGACTAGCAGTCTACTAAAATGAAAGGAGATCTTCTACATACTTTCTAAACCACGCTTGAGTCTCTTTGGTTAAGTCTCAACTTCCATTTAAATCAATTCTATTGTCATTTGTTTTCCACTGAGAGTATTTCAGGCCTGTATATGGCCTTCTCTATTTGATAAAAAAGTGAGATAAAACTAATTCCTGTCATTTTACCCATTGTTTTATAGCTTTTGAAGCTTCTTCCTACCCGTCCTGTTGTCTGAGCCATGCAGTGATCCTGAACATTAGGCGGGACAAAGCCTTAGAGCTTCCTTGCCCCAGAAAGCCCCTGGTAGTTACAAAACTACTTCAGGGTTGCGGAGTCAGTGAGTGGCAGAGAGGGTCTAAGGCTGGCATCCTGACTCCTGGTTCAGAACTCCTTGCATGGTCTTTCAGTCCGTCAGTAATCTGAGCAATTACCCTGTGCTTTGACATTGGAACGATAGAGACACAGATAGCACAAGTCCCTGCTCTTCAGAGTTCACCTCTCTCATTTAGGAAATAAAACTAAAGTGTATAGATGATGATGATGATTGTTACTATTGTTGTTGTTAAGTGCCGTTGAGTTGCAGGCGACTCAAAGCGACCCTATGAAGGAGAGTCATTATTATTATTATTGTTATTATTATTTTCATCATCATCATCGTCATCGTCATCATCATTAATTACTTTAAGGATAAGTGTAAGTGGTTCCTGGAATAGGTGGTAGGTGCTGTAAGAATTAAAGGAAAGGTTCATAACTCATGGCAGGAGTAGTCAAGAGCACATCACCCGCAGATGATAGCACTGCATGAGATGGAGATGTCTGGGAGAAACTGATGAACTGGGAAGTGACCTGCTGTAAGGGATACTGTATCACCTGGGCTGGGAGCAGTCCTCTGGAAAGTCAGGAAGGCCCTGAGCAGCAATGGTGAGGGGATAGAGAAGCGTCGATGTCTGCATAAGTTGTGAGTGCACAGAGATCTTCCTTCCTCTGTTGTAGCTTCTTCCTGTGAGACCTATGAGTACCCTCAGCGTGGTGGAGAGAGTGCAGGCCGGTCTGCTGAGTCCATGGGTGATGGAGTCAGTTCTTTCCTGGTGAGTAGAACCTACCCAGGGGTCTTTGGACTGCCTTAGGTGAGTTCAGTGCCACACTCCATGGAAGAGTACAGCCCAAAGAGTAAGACAGCTTTTTCTTGGGGTGCTCCTGGGTTTCTGTTTCCATTCAGAACCCCGGGTTCTGTTTTGTTCGGTCTCCTGGTCTAGAAAGGCAAGCCCTGCTGATGAAGTCTTCAGGGAGCTGCCCTGCTAACCCAGACGCAGTGACTAGCTGGCACCCGACCTCTCGGGCAGTTCAAATCCATCCACAACTTCACGAGAGAAAGATGTGCTGTCTCCTCTTGTGTGAGATACAGCCTCAGAAACTCAATGAAGAGTCAGCTCGAAGCTGATTCTAACATAGTGGCAATGAGTTTGAATAAGAGTCAGTGTATCCTTAAGGTTGTGTGGACCCCAAGATACCTTCACCATGCCTAAAAGTATCAGATATCTGTAATACAGGGAAGCCAGGGTCTACAGTAGTGGATCATTTGACAACATCCATGAGATCTCAAGTGAAGGAGGAATGGTGACACTCAGGGTGCAGAAAAGTAGTAGAATTATGGTTTAAGTGCAGCATCCCAGACTGTCCTCTAGGTTGGAGGACACAGAGACCTGGACACAGTTATCTAAGAGCCCAGCCAGGAAGACCTAGCTTCAGGCTGCCTGTATCCACAGCAGAAGCTCAATTTATGTCTGGAAGATGGGGCAAGATTTGGAAGTGGCTCTAACAGGGTTGTCCAACTCTGTGACAGCTCTGACCACAACTTGGTCATTGCCTCAGTGCCCAGAGTACCTTCAGCTGCATTGAAAGCCAAGCTGGAGGGGCACAACAGGTCTCAAACTGACCTCCTGATAATCTCCTTATACTGATGAGGACTTGAGATGCCGACCTCCCAGTAGTGACTGTGGACTTAAGGTGGAAAGCAGGTCCTGACCCAAGTCTATGCAGCCCCGGGCCTTTAATACTGTCTCTTGTGCAGGCATCCAGAGACCCTAGTGGACCCAGGTATTAGGGCATTTTATAATATGGATTGATCACAATTGATAAGTGGATCCCAAAAGATCATGATAACTAGAAGAGACTGCCCTCATTTCTTCCTTCCCCCCACTTTGCCTTCCAAATCGGTCTTCTCTGTGTGGCTAATACAATCATCAGGTTTTTGTGGGTTTTTTTTTTCTATAATTCTATTTTATTAATTTTCATAAACATTTACAGAGATTTTGGGTTTCCATTCATTCATTGTTGCACTATTCTCTCTACCCTCCTCCCAGTTTGTTCTTGTCCAAATGCCACAATGCTTGTCAAAGCCAGTTCTAATTAATCTTCTTTATCAGTGTGTCCTTTGCCATTCCCTATCACTCCTCCCTGAGAGAGACTTCACCCTGAGTCATAAGGAAAAGAGGGCAACATATTCTCTTAGCTACTTCCTGCTGAAAAGGGACGCTGTGGGTTTCAGGGTGAAGATCTTCTCTCACTACTCTAAAGGGCCCCTTTGGCAGTAGGAAACACATAAACTATTATGGAGATTGATTTTGGAATTTAGATGCACTCTTATTGATTGTGCTTGGCTGTACATGTTCATATCCTTGAAGATGTATCATGGGGGTGTTGCAACCTAGAAGACACAAATTTGACTAACAAGTTATAAGTACATGAGTCAAAAATTATGGAAAAGTAAAAGAAAAGATTCTTTCATTGTTTTACAAACCCTCCCCCAGGTCCCTCCACCATGTAGCCCTCGCTCTAGTCTCCTGTGATGACAGAAATACCTAGTTATATATCTCTTTTAAACAGTTTTCTCCCTCCTCTGTTTCAGTGCAGTATACATTATTGAACCCATCTTACTCAGTCTCTCCCCAACCCCAAGGACAGTCCCATTCTACAACAGTGGCATCATGTAATATTTGTCCTTTTGTGACTGGGATATTTCACTCAGCATAATGTTCTCCAGAGTCAACCATTTTGAATAATATTGCATGAGTTCCTTGTTTTTTAATGCAGCATAGTATTCCATTGTGCGAATATACCACAGCTTCTCTAGCCATTCGTTTGTTGATGGGCACTTAGGTTGTTTCCAACTCCTTGCTATTGTGAACAAAGCTGCAATAAACATGGGTGTGCATATATCTGCTTGGATGTCAGCTATGGTCTCTTCAGGGTATATTCCCAGTAGTGGAATTGCTGGGTCAAATGGTATCTCTATTTGCAACTTTTTGAGAAAGCACCATACTGCTTTCCACAGGGGTTGCACCATTTTACACTCCCACCAACAGTGAATCAGGGTTCCAGTTTCTCCACAACCTCGCCAGCATTTGTTGCTTGCTGTTCTGTTAAATTTTTCTACTTTGACTGGGGTGAAATGATATCTCATAGTTGTTTTAATTTGCATCTCTCTTAGGGCTAGGGATTTTGAGCATTTCTTCATGTGTTTGTTAGCCATCTGAATGTCGTCTTCGGTGAAGTGCCTGTTCATATCCTGTGCCCATTTTTCTATTGGATTATTTACCTTTATCTTGTTGTGGTGCTCAAGTATTTCATAAATTCTGGATATAAGTCCCTTATCTGATATGTTATTACCGAATACTTTTTCCCAGTCAGTGGCTTCCCTTTTTACCCTACTGGAGAAGTTTTTGGATGTGACAATCATCAGGTTTTTATCCTTATATATAAAATCTCAGCCCCTTGTTATTTCTTCTGGATTAGTAACAGTTGTATTTCTTTCACTCTCCTTCTCCCTAGCCAGGAAAAATGCTTGTGGGCCGATCAGATAGTGCCAGCTCTGAAGACAACTATGTGCCCATGAACCCAGGCTCCTCCCCCATGGTGGCCATGGAGCGGGCAAGTGATAATGCCCAGAGCGTCTACATCCCCATGAGCCCCGGGCCCCATCACTTCGACTCGCTCGGCTACTCCTCCACAGCCCTTACTATGCACCGAGGCCCCAGTCGAGGAGCTGAGATCCTGCCGCCCCCTGTCAACCGCAACCTCAAACCAGACCGAAAAGGTAAGTCTGCTTTCCCCTGCCTCGTATCTGCTAAATGTCCAGGGATGAAACACATTTGTGTAGGTATCAGGTGAATCCTGGACTTCTCTTTCCAAGAACTTGGAACTTCTGGTGCTCAGATCACAAACAAGCACGTAGGGCTGGCTGGCTGGTGGAGTAGCCATGGTGAGGAGAAGGCGCACAGGAATGGGGAAGACAGACAGGTTAGATCCCACCTCTGCTCACCAGTTGTTACTGCAGACAAATCATTTCACTTCTCTGAGCCTTCTCCACCTGTGAACTGAGGAGTATAATACTTAACTCCCAGAGACATTGAAGAACATAGATAATATAGCTAAAAATGCTACTCTGCCTCCAGGAGCCAGGCAAGCCAGGCTTGGCCTAGGGTTTAAGGCAGCAGGGGGCTTCAAGCCCAAAAGGGGAAGAGGGGAGAGAAGGCGGCCCTGTTCTTCCAGGTTTGCTCCGCCCAGGGCTGCTATCCTGGTCGCCAGAGAGACCATGGTGCTGTGTGTGCGGATGTTGTGGCAGTTTTTGCACATGAAGGACTGCTCTGCCTCCAGGAGCCAGGCAAGCCAGGCTTGGCCTAGGGTTTAATGCAGCAGGGGCTTCAAACCCAAAAGGTCCCTCGGGCCTGCGGCGCTCAGGCCTGTCTTTCATTGTTTTTGTTCAGACATTCCTCTAGGTTGTATAGCCCTGGTGTACAAGTACCTTGATAACTTGTGGTTGCTGTGAGGATGAACTCTGACACTGATGTGTCAAATGCGTTAATGGCTGGTTGCCCAATGTGGACAGAGAGTGAGGTGGAACTCCCTGATTAAAACAAGCTTGGAAGGAGGAGTGGCATCCACTTCCGTAATAGCTTGCCTCCGGAAACCCTATGAACCTGGAGAGAGGATGAAAGCACCCAAGTGTTGAGGACCCTCCTTCATAGGATCACTATGAGTGACCTGCGACTCGAAGGCACTTAACAACAACAATGTGTAAAATGCTACACAGTATAAAAGATTAGTGGTAGACCTGGGGCTGGGCAGGCAAAATTGACAGAATGATCTAATAAGGAACACCCTATGATGTGATGGGAAAGCTTGAGCTTTTATGTCAGTAGAAATGGATTGGAATATTTTTCTAGAACTTGACTGTGTAGATCTCTGAGCCTCAGCTTTCTTACCTGTGTCAGGAGGATAGTAATTCCCACCTCCCAGCTTTTACTCTGTACACAGCAGGTGTTCAATAAAGTTAGATCTCTGCCCCTTGCCTTTAGATCAGACAGAAGTGCCAGAATTCAGGTTCCAGGCCTGCTACTACTTCACTTCTCACGAGAAGAGAAGGGCGGACAAGCAGAGGCCGGCCTCCGTTGATCTAGCCAACAGGGAATTCATGTTTTCGTGTGTAATAGTGAAGCCTCAGGGCCTGTGGCCTTGCTGTTCTGCACGTTCCACAGAGCTGGGCCAGAAACAATGAGGAGTGGTCTTGCTGACCATCTGACCATCTCCATCTCGAGTATTGCCTCTTCTTTTCCTGTAAAGCCACAGATCTGGGAAGGGGAAAGGAATCTGTGGTCAGACCAAATGCATCTATTTTATACTGAAAACATAATTGCTGTAGATAAGTTGTTGTTATGTACCAGTCAGAACAACTCATAGTTGACCCTCCAGCGGGTTTTCAGAGGCAGTTGATTGCACAGGAGGAGATGGCTTTGAAGGCCTGACTTCTGTCAGCCTGGGCAGGTACTTACTGTATAACGTTGCTGGGTCTGTTGATGTATAAAAAACTGTGATGAATATGAAAGCATGTGTATGCCTGTTCGCATGTTATATCTGCCCGTGTATATGTAGCATTATTACTGGCTGATTGCTTGATTTTCTGTTTCTGTTTCAGCAAAACCAACACCACTTGACCTGAGAAACAACACTGTCATCGACGAGCTCCCCTTCAAATCGCCTGTCACCAAGTCCTGGGCTCGGGCCCTGTGAGTGCTCAAGGACAAGGGGGCTGGGAGTCAAGCCATTAAGGGGAATGAGTAGTAGAACAATCCCTGGTCTGCGAGTCAGGAAAGCTGATTCCAGTGTTAATATTCTCATTAGAAGGTCCTATTTTTCTCCCTTGGGATTTGGCTTTATCATTTGTAAAGGGGAAATAATTATACTGACCCCCCCAACCCCCATTAGGCTATTATCAGATCCAATCCGAGTGGCCTGTGAAGCTGGGTGTGTGAGGGTTTAACCCCAGCAGCTGCCCTGAGGCTTAGCCCAGCCTTACTCCTCTTCTTCTTCTTCCCTTCACCGTAGCCATACCTTCAACTCGAGCTCCTCTCAGTTGAACACCCACACCCGTCCCATCTCCACACAAAGCATCACCAGCACAGACTCGGGGGACAGTGAGGAGAACTACGTCCCTATGGTGAGTCCTCTGGGCTTGGCAAGAATGATTTCCTAGCATGGTCCCCTGGGGCCCACCACTCCGCTCCTCACTCCCCTGCTCTTTATCTAATACACCTTAGCCTGATGACTCAGCATTAGTTGTGATTTTGTCTCATGCTGCAAAAGCAGTCCGCGGGTAGTCGGAGAACAGAAGATAAAGTCCCAGCCTTCCGGGTCCTAATTAGTAGCAAAGGTGCTCTCTCTCCTGACTGACACAGGGTAGCATGATCTAGAGGCTGTGCCAGGGGGCAGCTACAGGAGTGCTGATCCTGTCAGACTGAGGGCAAAGGGAAGGTACTGAGATGGAGGTGCCGCGGCAGAAGAGGAAGGTCAGATTTGTAGAAAGGCACTGTGTCAGAACCACGCCAAGCAACGAGAGCAAGGATAAGTCTTAACTGTAACTGTAGGTCGGTTGGACAGGACTGGAGTTGGACTGAAGCCAGATCATCAACGGCCACTGAATGTTTTCTAGGAACTTTGGGCTTTCCTTCTGGGCAAATGACACAACCTTGCTTGCAGAAAGTAACGAAGGCTTGAAGCTCTTACTGAGTATGGATTACATCTCACAGTCAAGAAAACAAACATCCTCACCACTGGACCGATTGGCAGCATCATGATAGAGGAAGTTAGAAGTTTCCACAGCAATTTCATTTTACTTGGCTCCACAGTCAGCACCCACGGTAACAGCAGTTGAGAAGGCATGCAGCATTGGGGAAATCGGCTGTGAAGGACTCCTCCAAAGTGTTAAAGCACAGTAATGTCCGTTTAAAAGCCAAGGTCCACTTCACCCAAGCCATGATATTTTCATTTACTTCCTATGCATCTGAAAGTTAGACAGTGAATAAGGATGACAGTCAGAAGAACCGAGGCTTTCGAGTGGGGTGTTGGAGAAGAGCACGGCATCCTGCGTGGACTACCAAGAGAACAAACAAGCCTGTGTTGGAGAAAGGCCAGCTGTTTGGGACAAGGATGGTGAAACTTCATCCCACATACATGAGGCATGTTGTCAGGAGGAGCTAGTCTTTAGCAAAGACATGGTGCTGGGAAAGGTGAAGGGTCAGAGAAAGAGAGGATTACCTTCAATGAGGTGGATTGGTACAGTGGCTCTTAGCAATGGACTTGAGCATGTGAGAAATTGTGAAGATGGCTCAGAATAGAGCATGGTTCAGGTCTGTTGTTCAGGGAGTCACTGTGAGTCTTAGTAGATGCAATGGCACCTCACAACAACAACTCTGGGCAAGGGGAGCCTCAGACAGTTTCAGCAAGCTAAGTGATTTAGAATGTCAGGGAATGACAAGAGCACCCTCTAACTTTTTTTTCTTCCTTCTTCTGTCCTGTTAGAATCTTTTAAAAGTGAAATCTTTTTTCCTCCTCTCCTTACTCTCTTGCTCCTGTGACCATGGCCAGAGATAGAAGTATAAGCTTTTCTGGTGTATCCACTCAGCATGAGAGAGAGACGTGCCCCTAACTCACTGTGGTAAAAGCCATGATGGGAGTAGAAACATAGGCAGAGCATGGTTTGGCTTTGCCTTGAGCTTTTCACTGAAGAGGCACAGCTGCCCAGCACCGGATAGTTGTTGCATTAATATTGATTGAATGAAGAGCCAACAGCAACAACAAAAGAGCAAGGGGCTGTGGCTTTTCTCATTAGATTAATACTTTAGAAAAGTCCTGGACAAGTTACTGTATCTTAGGAGTCAGACCACTAGAGTGTGTCAGTTGTAGAACTGAGAGAATAACTGGGGTGTTGTAGAGGCTGAAGAAGAGGCACCTTGGTTCAGACCCATGAGGAGCTGGGGCTGGAGGGAGCATGCTGCTTCAGTGTGGCTCTGCGTGGTAGGAATTTCAGAGAGGGAGTTTCTGAGGTGCAAAGAAGGCTACTAGATCATGATCAGGAATAGACTGTAGAGGAGATCTGACCGGATGCCCCAGAAAAGGGAGCAGCCTTGTACCCTGAGGAAGTTTCGAAGTCAGAAACCAGACATGGGTCCCAGCCTTGTTCCAGCACTCACCAGCTGTGTGACTGGGCAAGTCCTTCTACAGCACTGAACTGCTCTCAGTTCATCTTTTGTGTGATGTTGTTAGTATGAATAGTAATAACACATCAGGCTTGCTGTGAAGATTTAAATGAGATAATGTGAAAAGCCCCAGCATGGTGCATGGTACAGAGTAAGCTACTCAGTAAAAATGATGCTTGCTCCTGAGGTGTGTTTTTCAGGGAGTGGGGAAGCCTGTTTCCCAAGCTCACTAACAGGTGCTTTTTCTCCTTGTGATAGCAAAACCCAGTGTCTGCATCTCCTGTTCCCAGTGGCACCAACAGCCCAGCGCCCAAGAAGAGCACTGGCAGTGTCGATTATCTGGCCCTGGACTTCCAGCCAAACTCTCCAAGCCCCCACCGCAAGGTATCAGGGGTGTGGGGGTATCAGTGAGCCGTCTCAGGGCCTGAGGGCATCCACAGAGACCAGGGTGCCTTCAGCACTGAACAGCAACACTCAGCGGCTCTGCTGGTGGTAGCACACCCCTGTGGCCCGCTGTGCTCTCCTTGGACCTTTGAGGCCCATTTTCCTATTCCCACACTCCCCTTGTCTCTCTCTCTCCCCTCTCTCTCCCTCTACTCCTCCCTCTCTCCCTCCTTCCTTCTTTCCTTCTCTCTCCCTTCTTCTTTCCCACTCTCTTCCCCTCCTTTTCTCTCCCCTCCTCTCTCCCCCCTCCCTTTCTTCCCCTTTCCTCTCTTCCTCGCTCTCTCTCCCCCTCTCCCTTCACGCCCCCTCTCTCTCCCTCCTCCCTGAGCACAGTCACTCTTCTCCTCTACAACCTGATCACTCAGTCCATCCATCGTCCTCATTGCACAGATGGGAAGATGGCACATCGTGTCCTTTGTGAGAACAGAAAACAGTTATTTTCTCAGGGCTGCAGAGTCCATACTCGCACACCTGCAGCCACTATGAATTAGAATAGAGTCCATGGCACCCAAAAACAACACAGTGAATCAGTAACAGATCTAAGACTCTGGGAACCCATGTTCTGGTCTTAAGCACTTTTTTGAGGATCAGTTAAATTTCTGGATGCAAAAAGGGCTAGGAAAGCCTTCCATAAGAAGTGTAGTAAGCTAATACCACTTCTTCAAACCCTTTACCTTGGAGTCTGAACCGACTCATAGCCCCTGAGGGAGTTTTCAGAGGCTTTAAATGGCATAGGAGGAGACTGCCTAGCTTTCTCCCTCCAAACAGCTGGTGGGTTCAAATCGCCTGCCTTTAGGTTGGCAAAGCAAATCTTTACCCACAAGGACCAGAGCTCCCATTAACCAATGATAATTAATGTCATAAAACAAAAAGTTTCTGAATGATTGTAAGAAAAATCAATATGATTTGTAAACCTTCACTCAAATAAAAATAAGCAATTTTAAATTGAATCTCTATAGTTAACAACAAACAATAAATTCTGGCAAGGGTATGGAGAGATTAAAACTTTCATATCCTGTTAGTGAAATGTAAAATGATCCAACCACTGTGGAAAGCAGTTTGGCACTTCCTTAGAAAGGTGGGAATAGAAATAACGTTTGATCCAACAATCTCACTAGTAGGTATAAATCCTAAAAATATAAGAGCTAGGGGAGCTCTGGTGGCCTAGTGGCAAGGAGCTGCAACTACAATCCCAGAGGCTCACGGTTCGAATCCACCAGATGCTCTGCCGGGGAAGGAGGGACAATCTCCTCCTGTACCAGTCAGATCTGATTTGACGGTACACTCACACAAAAATTAAAAAAAAAATTATAAAAAAAATTAAAAAATATAAGAGCTGCTATACCTACAATAGATGCACACCAGTGTTTACTGCAGCTTAATTTACAATAGCAAAGAAATGAAAACAACCCAGGTGTCCCTCGGTGGATGGATGGCTAAAGAGTGGCACATTCACACAGTGGAGTATTATGCAACACTAAGAATGATAGGGAATTTGTAAAACACTACACAGCATAGGTGACTCTAAAGGAAATTTTGCTGAGTGACTAAGGCAGTCACAAAAGGACACTTATGGTATAATACCACTAGTACAGAAAGCTAAGGAAAGGTTTACACACAGAATCATTGCTGAGTAGGTACCAAGAATAGGAAGAGAATGAAAGGGAGTAAAAACTAATGAATAGGTAGGGGAAGGGAAAGGCTAGTGCAACAATAAAGGGTTTATCAGACTTTGTAATTACTTAATTATACCGATCAGTTATAATTAGTTATAAAGTAAAATGTACATGAAAGATAAATTGAGGAAAACCCTATAAAACCATACATTTATAAAATAAAGAATAAAAGAGGGGAGGAAAGGCAGCCCGGTGGGGTAGGAGCTCCACCAAGGGGCACTGGTAAAGCCCTGGGGCTGGTGCTTATTGGCAGCCAGCAAATGTCTTCCTCTGCATTAGGGGTCAGAGAGATGTGTCCAGAAGGAGCCCTCCAGGCCAGGACCCAGGGAAGGACCTGCTCCCAAGGATGGGCTTGCTGAAAGGGCGTGATTGTACCAGATGGGGCATGATGATTTTGGAGTTCAAGCTATCAAGGCCACACTCAGAAAAAGCACAGGCTCTGAGTCTGGTCAGAACAGGCAAAGCCCGCCTCTTCTCCTTTCAGGGAAGCTCCCTACCCTACTCAAAACCACTTCTACTTTCTCACTCTGTCCCCTCAGCCATCCACGTCATCCGTCACTTCTGATGAGAAGGTGGACTACGTTCAAGTGGACAAGGAGAAGACCCAGGCCTTGCAGAACACTATGCAGGAGTGGACTGATGTGCGGCAGTCCTCAGAGCCTTCCAAGGGTGCCAAGCTGTGATACGGGGGCCGCTGAGCTGGAGGAGGGGCCAGGAGGCAACAACACCGCTGCCTCCCCCCCCCCCCCCCCAGTTTCCCTTTTCCCTCCTATTGCCCCATCCCACACACCTCTTTCCCACCCTGCCACTCTTGGCCTTCAAAGCACTTGACATCAGGGACTCTGAACTCTTCCCCTGGAAGGTGAGGGCCTGGTTGAGGCACTTCTGCCCTCTCTAGGTCCACCTTTTGATTTTTATTAGTCATGGCTGTGCCTCCACCCACCTTATTTAGGAGCTATTGCCAAAAAAAGCATCCTTTGGCCTCTTCCTGTCCTCTACACCTAAATACCTAGCAGATGTTGGAGGGAGGGGCTGGGGGCCTGAGCCAGATTCCACACCTCACATTCGGTCATGGCCCTCAGCCTTCTTCCCTCTGGCTCCTTAGCCTACCTCTCCTTCAATCCCAGAAGAAGAAGTCATCTCGCTGCCCCATGGAGCCAAGGACCACAAGACCAAAGTGGACATGGACCTTTCCAACCCTGTTTCTCTTGGAGAGGAAAAGACCATAAAATAGGAAATATGAAGGAAGGTCAGAGGTGGTCTTGAGAAGTAAAGGAATGGGACCCCCAAAGACAGCATGGCAGCTGATAGCAGTGGTCCCTAACTCTGAGACCCAGATGTGGCACTGTAGCTCCTTGCAGAATGAGCAAGGTGCAGGGAGAAAGGATGAAAAGAAGGGAAGAATGATGATGAAGTACCAGGGATTGGAGCCCAGGCAATCAGGGAGATAGGGCACTGTGGGGCCAGGGTCTCTAGAACTCTCGAATCACAAGCTCCTTTTACCAGCCTCTGATGCTTCCCAGTCATTCTCCTGGAGAGCCCTGTCCCCACATCTGAGAGCCCATGACAGATAAGGCTTGGTCTGTGCAGGTTGATGCCGCTGTGGTGTAAGAGAGGGCAGGGGGTGCAGTGAGGGGAGGAGAACGTCAGTGTGTGGGAGTGGGATGTGGGACCAGAGGGTGTGGCACGTAGGATGGAAGTGATGTAGGGATTAGAGGGCTTCCTCGTGACAGGAGCCAGCACGGGGCAGGACTGTGTGTGGATGCTGCAAGTACGTCACCACAGGACTGTGCATCAGAGGAGAGCACAGGCAGCATGACAGAGCAGGGGATGCAGAGGCAAGGCCAGGCTGCACGATGTCCATGGTGAGGAAATGCAGTGTGAGAACTCGATGGGGTGCCCAGGGCAGTGCTTTGGGAGATGGCTCAGTGACTAGAGGGACAGACTGAGCTGTAGCTCAGGCTACTAAGTGTAGCCTTGTGCATAGTGGTGCAATAGGAAGGCAGTTCCAAAGACTGATGGTGGACAGGTGAGCCATTTGTGGGAACAAGCAGGGTGGAACTGTGCCCAGAAGATAGCCTGGATGTATGGCTGGTAGCCTGTAGCATTTGGCTGGATTTTGTGCCAGGTTCCAGGACAGGTTGCATGTCTGGTCTGGTGACAGACCTCACGTGTTCACTACCTCACCTAACCCTCTTGGGGCCTGCTACTCCACAGCATTCCACGCATCATGCTGCACTCAGATTTGGCTACAAGGACAAGACAAGGCAATCCTCTACTTCTATAGCCTGGGAGGCTATCAGATTAGCACCCCAGTCTTCCTCTTAGCTGCTGTTGAGAGGTAGGGCATTGCCTCGGCTCTGTCTTGGAAGCTTACAGAGTATCTGAGTTTTCAAGTTGACAGTTCTTCAGTAAATTTTCAAGAGTTCCATAGACATCTGGGCAGTCATTCGGATATTTTATCCTACCCAGGGGTGAACATTCTTCTCCCCGTAAAAAAATTCCATCCCACTATGTTTGATGGGTATGGCTACCACATCTCTTTCGATTCCTGTTCTTCTACATGTGCGCAAACACACCCACATCACCAGACCAGTGGCCTGCCCGCTCCCTGAGACGTTCCATCCTGAGAACAGTTACTCCCCCACAGTAACTCCTCATATCCTCGCATCAGCCCAGAGGAACATAGTATTAATGGCTGTTCTAGCCAATGATGAGGGCCACGTACTAAGGCCACAGGAATTCCTCAGACTTGTCCCTTGAGAAGGTCACAGTCAAGTAAGAAAGAGACAAGGACATGTGATATTAGTAATGGCTGTAAGAGAGAAACCTAAAATACTGATGGCATGCAGAAAAAGAATACTCCTTCTATAATGGTCTAATGGTAAGGAGTTGCGGTGCCAACCCAAAGGCAGGCAGTTCAAATCTGTCAGCAGCTCCATGCTGATAGGTCGGGCAGTCTCCCCCCCATGGGATTTAAAGCCTCTGAAAACCCACTGGAGGGTCAGCCATGAGGGAGGTCGGTGCCAGAAGTAGGAGTGGGAAAGTGCACAGAAGTGGTGGAAGATAAAAAGCAAGGTAGATTTCTGAAAAAAAGAGCAACTTGGAAAGCTTTGTGTTTTGATAACAAAAGACCTTTGGGACTATAGGTGCAGAAATTGAGGAGTGGCAGGCCTGTGGCTCTGTGTACCCAGAGTTAAAGTGGTGGGGGGAGGATGGCTGCCACGGCAGGTGAGCAGCGTCCTGGTCCGCTCTGCCCAGCCCCAGAAGCCTGTAGTGAGCCCAGGCACTGATACCCTTGTTTCCGGCCCCAGCTGAGCCTCCCCTCTTGATGCCAGGGTGCCATACACACATTAGCCCTTTCTAGTGTAGCCTGGTGCCAATGGAACGGCTGAGAGTCTTCAGAGACAGAGGTGCTCAGACATCATCTCCAAGGAGGCTGCCTGCCAGCACCTGGTTCCTCTAACTGCCAGAACTCTTAGGATGGAACTGAAGGTAGAAATGGAAAAAGTGCAAGAGAAGAGGAAATTTCAGAGAAAAGGAAATGCAGAGATATACAAGCTCCAGACTGCCAGCCGTGTTGGCTCCAGTAGGTGGATCAAAGGTGACCTCTCCTGGAGGCCTGGCTGGGTCTGAGACCCCACAGTGGAGATGCACTGACACCTAGTAGAGTCTGTAAGGACTCATCCTGTCTAGGGCTCCCCAGAGCAGCAGCTCCCCTCTCCCACTTCTAACTCCACCCCAGTGGAGTAGGGACAGAGAGAGGAGGGAAGGACAGGATGCCTGTCTCTTAAAGTGTAGCTGGATTAGGTGGACTGACGCTCAGCTGCCTCAGGAAGAGCCTTAGCCAGGTTGCCCAGTTCCCTCCTTGACTTGGTTTTTTTATAACTTCCGTATTTGAACCCTTCAAATATGCCCTGTTCCCTGGACAGAAGCACAAATATTCTGAAGTTATTGGAGCCTAGGCTCAACCCCAGTCTGCCCTTATGGCCCCTTTACTTGCCACTTGACCTAAGGCCCTAAGCCCTCACCACGACCAACCCTTCCCCACCACACCCCTGTGAAAGTACACGGCAGGAGGAAAATTGGCTCTCCCTTCCCCTTCTCTGAGCCGCCTTCTGTACAGTGGGAGCAGAGGGGGTGCAAGGCTGGCTGCCTGCATCTAAAGAAGCCTCCTACTGGGGCCATCTTCCTTGGACAAATTCTTCGGGGGCCCAGACCACAATGGGCTGCCTGCTGAGAGGCTCATTAGAGATTCAGGCTGTCCTGTGACATTTGGTGGTGTGTGTTCTTGTGTATTTGTTGGTTATGTGTCTTGAAATTTAGAATTATTTCGCACAGAATTGTTGCTGTCAGGAAGAGAAAATAATGGGCTAGTAGAAGCCCCATCTTGAGTTTTTGTCCTGTTGCCATTTAAAATCGATGTTTAATTTCTCAAATCACTGTTGGTGCCTAATCACTTAAGTTATTAATTTATTCTTTTTTTTCTTTTAAAAAAATTTGTAACACATATTTATCTTGTGAGTAGCTCTGGGGGTGGGGTGGGAACATGTTGACGTGGGTAATGTTTTTGCTGTGGTGACACATGGTACCAGGCCTGGAGCTTCAGGTCCCTTTTTACTGTGGTGTTGGACCAGGACAACAATAAAGTCCTTAGAAATGCTAACTGGAGAGGACTGTGGAGTGGCCTTGCCTGAGGGAGGGGTGAATGGACTCTTCAGGCTCCAATCCCAGGGTGGGGCTTACCGAAGGGTTGACAGCCACTGCCCTGCCTCAAGGACACTGAAATACACACACTCAACAAGTCATTTCAGAACCCTTGCTCCTCAGAACCCAGAAGAGTGTGCTTACAATCTCAACTTTCACTTGAAAAGAAGTAACTGGGTACTTAATCTTGTGAGGAAGAATCCTTTGAATTTTAGAGTCTATTTTCCTAATCTGTCAAATGGTGGTGGTACATGTCATCAAGTTAGAACTGACTGACGCATGGCTGACCCTCCGGTGGATTGGATTATCCGATGCTGTAAATCGTATGGGAGGAGACTGCCCGTCCTTCTTCCTCAGAATAGCTGGTGCATTCAGTCTGTGTACCTTTACCCGCTAGGCCACCGGAGCTCCCTCAGTCAGAAACTGTAATCTTATCTGCCAGTTCATCTTCCTTAAAGGTGCACTGGACTAGGTGTCCAGAGACATATTCTGAGCACAATTCACCCTCAAAGAGACCGTCACCTCTGGTCCACTTTCACTGGTCCCTAAGGTCTGACATCTTGAGAGTCCAGATTTGGGCCAACTCTTTACCCCAGCATAGGAGGCCCCGAAGCCCTGGTCACTCTCTCGCCTCGGCCTGTGTTTCCTTGCAGGTGTGGAAGGATGAGTGCAGAGAGGGTCCTGCACACAAGGCTGGACCTAGGCCAATGTGCAGGTCCAGCCCAGGGAGGCCACAGCCCTCTTCCTCCTCCCTGCCAGCTCTCCGGAGGGAAGCAGGAAGGATGCGGTATTGGCAGCAGGCATTTGTGGGGCGTACAGTAATTGGGGAACACTAAGTCTGAAAAATCCCAGTATCAGCGCTTTAGCCTCACTTGATAGGTGAATCTTCTCCATGGCATCCTAAAAAGTAGCTCCCCAAACAGTGCTTCAGCCCCTCAAACACAAAAGGCTTCACACTGCTGCTCAGGGCAGCACTTCAGGACAAAGGTCCTCTTTCCCTCTGCAGGTGCCTGGTCTCAGCATCTGAGGCACCAGCTGGCCCAGCACTAGTCAGTCCCCACCTTCATCAACACAGCACCTCTATTTACGTGGGCAGGGAGGGGGAGCTCTCTCCACTCATGGTGCACCTCACAAGTCAACAGGGGCAGGGAGCCTATTTTCCCATTCACTCAGAGCCGAGGGTCCAGGGAGGGAAGTGTCCCTCAAGTCTTGGAGAATGAAAAAGCCCCCACCCTCTTTACTTCCCAGAGGTGGTCAGCAAGCCAGCAGTAAAGTCGGACATCACAACCCCTGAGACACTGAAGGATGACATCTCAGAAGGTTCGAGAGAACTTATTTTATTCCTGTCTGAAACCTGGGTACCTTGCGGTTCAGAAGAGGCCACAGCAGTGTCAGGGCACACAAGATGAACATGTGCTTTCCATCAAGCCCACACCATCCACTTCTTGGGGTCACCATCAGTGACCCAGTTGTGCTGCCAGCATGACAGTGTCCAACTGACCAGAGGAGCTGAGCCAGCCAGCTTTCCTCAGAACAGACAACGGCTTCTGGAGAAACACAAAACATCTGCAGTAAAATAAGGACTCTGTCTTAACCAGAAGGGGATGCAAATAGTGGCATCTCAGGCACTGAGGCAGGCTGGTGGGGGGGGGATAGGACCTCCCACTCTGAGGGGGCCTATCCTCCCCACTAAGAATCATTGTTTGCTGTAGGGGAGGCGGAGAGGTGAAGGAGTAAGACCAGATGCAAGTCGGAGTGTCTGATCCTATGACAAGCTGCTTCTCACCTACACTCTTCTCAGAAAAGTGGTCGGTACTGGCACCCACACAAGGCAGCTCACTGCATGGGCTACTTCTGAAAACCCTTCTGTAACCCAGGGTTTCCCGGCCCTGCCATTTGGGTACAATTGAGGCAGAAAGACAAGGGGAAGGCCAGAGGTGTGGCACACAGCCCCCTTTGTGCAAGGGTTTGGATCCTGCTCTGCTTTTGTTACTATGGAGCAGGGCAGCTACCTGAAAGGAGCTGGCAGGGAAATGCTACTAGATGGCAGACAATGAGAGCTGGTAGGTCCAGCCCTTTTTCCTGAACTTAATCCTATATTCCACTATCTGGAATACAGGGGAGCTTGCTAGAAGAGCAAGGGGCTGGGGCTGGGGGTGGGGGTGGGGGAGAGCCAAGCCCAGAGTGTCCATCTAAGCAGATCCAAGTTGGCCAGGACACTTGGGTGTAAATCCTTAATGGGACTGATTGCAGTATCAGGGCCTGAGACCCATTTAGGGAGCTTGGGTCTCCCTTCCATATTACAGTATACCTACCCTTCCAGTCAGAGACCAATGTCCCAGAAGTTCCTGCTCCATCTTCTCTGCCCTTAGAAGGCTCTACCTGCAGACCCTCAGACACAGCCTCCCTTGACAGCCCTCTTCACATCCCATCTGGCTAACCACCTCTGCCTAGAACCCGGGCTCCCTGGCTGGTTCTGAAGAGAAAGCAGTCAAGGCCTCTCCGGAGGCTGGCTGTGGTGTCCCCACAGGCAGGAGCAGGCTGGGGGACAGGGCTCGCCTTAGAAGACAAGTCTGTGGAAGTCACCGCCGTTGCCACCTGCGGGGTTGCAGCCTCCTGGAGAGCCTTCGTCCTCATCCTTGTCTTTGTCAAAGCCCCGCCCCCAGGATGGAGATGCGGGCAGTGCAGAGATATAGGCCGCCCGGCTCCGGGCCTCCTTCTCCTGCTCCTGAGAACACAAATGGATGTTTCTGTGAGGACAGGGAAGAAGTTTAACACTCAGACTCACCCTGCGCCGCATCCTCTGCCTGCTCCTACTGTGCGTTTTTGCAGAGTCCCCCCTTCACCCCTGCTGCACAGCCACTCAGCACACCCTCCTGAGTGCCTCCTCTGGCCCTCAGGGTTGAACACACAGCTCCGCCCTGGGGTGCTGGAGCGAAGTGTTGGGCTAGGTGGGACAGACCCACCTCTCCACAAAGCTGAAGCCAGGCTTTGAAATCTGCCCCCACCCCCACTGGAAACTCCCCGTCCTTCAGAGGAAAGAAACTTACACTACACTGAATTGCAGACAGGACTTGATGTGGTCAGGCAGAGACACCTAGAGGGCCAGGCCACCCCACATGGGAAGCTCTCCACAGGCCTCCTGCTTAGCAGCTGTCCAGCTCACTGCCGCCAGAGGCTCCAGGAGAGGACTCAGATGCCAGAAAGTTCCTCTTCCTACTGAGCTGAGGCCCTCCTCAGCCAGATTCCCCATCACTAGCTCCGCCTCTGCCTGGACACCACATTAGAAATGTGAAAATGGGCCTGGGGTCCCCACAGCCCCACCCCAAAGTCTGCCTTTCTAACATACAACACTCACTCCAAGTGTGGTATCTATAGGACCCAGTACAGCCAGTCTCATTATTTATAGCTAGTTGTTGTTGTTAGGTGCTGTCAACTATGAACAGTGACCTCTGCCCTATCCTAGGTCATCCTCATCATCTCTGATACATATACTTAAGCCCGTTGTTACTGTGCCAATCAATGTTGCTGAGGGTCTTCCTCTCTTTCACTGACCCTCCAACTTTCAAATATGATGCCCTTTTCCAAAGACTGGCCCGCCCTAACAACATGAACAAAATACATGAGATGAAGCTTCACCATCCTTGCCTCCAAGGAGCACCCTGGCTGCATTTTCTCCAAGACATATTTGTTCTTTCGGCAGTCCATGGGACCTTCAATACTATTCTCCACCACTATAACTCAAAGGCATAGATTCTTCTGTCTTCCTTACTCATGCCCAACTTTCAGTTACCTAATAAGTAACTGAAATTTCTAGGACTGAAATCAGATACACCTTAATCTTTAAGCTGGCATCATTGCTCCTGAACACCTTACAGAGGTCCTTGATAGCAGATTTGCTCAATACAAAAAGACTTTTGATTTCTTGCCTGCTGGTTCCAAGGGTGTTGATTGTGAATCCAAGCAAGAGGAAACTGTTGACAATTTCAGTCTTCTCCCTATCTATCATAATGTTGCCTTTTGACCTAGTGATGGTTTTTGTCTTTTTTACATTGGGATATAATCCATATTGAAGGCTGTCATTCCTGATCTTCTGCAACAAGCATTTTAAATCCTCTTTGCTTTTGGGCAAGCAAGGCTGTGTCATCTATATTAATGCACGTTGTTGATGAGTCTTCCTCTGACCCTGATGTCACACTCTTCTTCATAAAGTCCAGCCTCTCAAACTATTTGTTCAGCATGCAGACTGTATAGGTATGAAGAAAGGATACAGACCTGCCACACACCTTTCTTGATTTTAAAACCATGCAGTGTTCCTTGCTGTGTTTGGACAGCAGCTTCTTGGGCTAAGCCTAGGTTTCACATGATCACAATTAAGTAAGTGTAGGTCAGAACTGTTATTGTTCTATTTGCTAAATATTTCCAATATAAGTGAAGTCAAAGGCGTAGTTCTATTGGTTCACTCAGGGTCCAGTGCACACACACCCCCACCCTGAGAAGCCTTCTCTCCCTGCTTTTACTGTGCATTCTTACATTCTGGGCCTCTTCCCACATGCTTATCAAAAGTGCTGCAGAATAACTACACATTTGGTTCCTTGTCTCTAATAACCACAATAAACAGAGTGGGAAGACAGATACAAGCAAAAAGGAAGAAACTCAAAGAGAAGCAGCTTGTCTAAGCTGGTCAATCAAGATGTAACAATAATAACTGGTGGCTGGAATGCAAAAGTTAGAAAGAAAAAAGGATCAATAGTTGGAAAATATAGCCTCTATGGCAGAAATGAGGCCAGAAAATGTATGATACAATTTTATACAATGATTTATTCATTGTAAATATTTTTTTAAAAGTGTGTGTGTGTGTGTGTGTGTGTGTGTGCATTTTCAAATTGGATCTGAAGATTGCCCCTCCTTCTCCAGCAAAGCATCTGGTGAATTTGAACCATGTACCTCTGGGATTGCAGTGCAGCTTCTTGCCACTAGGCCACCAGATGTAAATACCTTTTTTAAAAAACATAAGTGGCAACTATACATAGTGATCTCATCTCATGGACTACACAGAAGTCAAAATGACTACATCTGTGGAAAGATGGTGGAAAAGCCAAAATTTACTAGTCAGAACAAGGCCAGAGGCCAGCTGTAGCACAGACCATCAAGTGTTCACTTACAAAGCAACACTAAAACTGAAGAGAATTAAAACAAGTTCATGACAACAAAATTGTATCCTTGAGTATATCCCACTTAAATTTAAACTCTATCACAAGAACAGATTTAATGCTTTGAACACTAATGATCAAAGACTGGACAAGTTGTGGGATAACAAGATACATGAAGAAAGCAAAAAGGTCATCTAAAAAACAAGGACCAAAAAACCCAAAAGACTGTTAGAAAAGACTGTGAAACTTGCATAAATGATGAAATAAGAGAGCTGTATGGGAGATTTCAAGGGGCAGTTTGTGAAGGCAAAGCAAAATATAACAAAATGTGCCAAGAACTGGAACTAGAAAACCAAAAGGGAAGAAAGACAGGGTAATGGTAGGCATAGCTCAATGGTGACTGATTATATAAAACATGAAGAATGGGAATGATTATATGAAACACAATATAAATGAAGGAGAGTGTGAACACAGTGTGTACCAATGTGGTAAGCAAACTAATATAAAATTAAAAGACTGAAAACATTCAAACTTTAAGCTGCAATGCTGAAGTATTCTATGAACAAAATACTAAATAAGTCAGGAAGTAGCAAAAGATGGAAGACGTGTTTCACTGTTTCAAAAAGAAATGTACATTAATCATTTAAGAAAGGGAGCTCAGGTGCCCTAGTGGCAGGGAATTTCACTGCTGACTCAAAGGCCCCTGATTCAAATCCCCCATGAGAGAAAGACAGACAATCTCCTCCCATGTGATCTGCAGCCTCTGAAAACCCTCTAGGGGATCAGCTTTGAGTTGTTTCTCACTCTACAGTATATAACAATCATTTCAGAAAGTAGTATATGATCTAGAGCCAATGGTACTCATGGAAGAAGTCCATGCTAACATGAAGGCATTGAAAAAAAAATAAGACTCTAAGAACTGATAGAATATTAATAGAGAATTTCAGCAAACAGATGCAGCCCTGAATGTGCTTACTCATCTACACCAAGAAATTTGAAAGATAGCTATTTGACCAACAGACAAGAAGAGATTAATAAATTTGGCCATTCTCAATCCACCCCCCAAAAGAGGTGATCCAACAGGATTTAGAAACTATCAAATAACATGATCCATATCACATGCAAGTATTATCTTGCTTAAGATTATTAAAAAATTGCTGAAGCAATACAGAGATGAGGAGTGGCCAGAAATTCAAGTTGGATTCAGCAGAGGGTATGAAACAAGGGATATCATTGCTAATGCCAGATGGATCTTTGTTAAAAGCAGGAAACACAGAAAGATGTTTACATGTGGTTTTTTGTTGTTTTTTTTTTAATTTTTTTTATTTTGTGTGCGTGTACCGTCAAATCAGATCTGACTGGTACAGGAGGATATTGCGCCTCCTTCTTCGGCAGAGCATCTGGTGGATTCGAACCGTGTTCCTCTGGGATTGCAGTGCAGTTTCTTGCCACTAGGCCACCAGAGCTCCCCACATGTGTTTTATTGACCATGCAAAGGCATTTGGCTGTGGAGATAATGATAAATTATGGATAACACTGAGAAGGCTGGGGAGTGCAGGACAGGTAACTGTGCTTATGTAGAACCTGTCCAAGAACCAAGAAGCAGCCATTCAAGCAGAACAAGGAAGGTGTGCATCAGGGTTGGACCCCTTCACCATACCTGTTTAATCTATATGCTGATCAAATGATCTGAGAAGCTGGACTCTGTGAAGGCTGTGGCATTAGGATTGGAAGAAGACTTATCAACAACCTACATTATGCAAAGGATATAACCTTCCTTGCTGAAAGTAACAAAGACTTGAAGTACTTAATGAAGAAGATAAAAAAACTATATGCCTTCGACATGGATTACACTTCAGCATTAAGAACACAAACATGCTCACAACTGGACCAATAGGCAACATTGTTAGAAATGGAGAAAAGACTTACGTTTTCAATGATTTCCATGATCAAAATCCATGGAAGCAGCATTCAAGAAGTCAAAAGACATGTTGCATTGGACAAATCTGCTACCAAGAATCTCTTTTAAAGTGCTAAAGAGTAAGGATGTCAATTTAAAGATGAAGGTGTCTTGGCCTAAGTCATGGTAATTTCAATTGCTTGATATGCATTAAAAGTTGGGCAATAAAAAAAAATTTTTTTAAAAGTTGGGCAATGAATAAGGAAGATGTAAGAATTGATGCTTTTAAATTATGTTGTTGAAGAATACTGAATATACTATGATGTTGTGTACCATCAACTCAGATCTAACTCATAGCTAACCCTTTAGCAGGTTTTCAAAGGTAGTAAATTGCATGGGAGGAGAGTGACCTATTTTCCCCCGTGGAGCAGCTGGTAGATTCGAACCATTTATCTTTGTGTTGGCAGGCCATTTCCTTACCACTGAGCCACCAGAGCACCCTGGAATATGCCAGAGACAGCCAAAAGTACAAACCAATCTTGGAAAAAGTACAATCAGAGTGCTCCTTTGAGAGAAGAGTGGTGAAACTGTGTCTCACATACTTGGGCATGTTATCAAGAGAAGCTAGTCCTCGGAAGGGAATATCGTGCTTCTATTTCCAGGTGGAGGGTCAGCGAAAGGGAAGATCTTCAACAAGACGAACTGAAACAATGACTGCAGCAGCAGCTGGCTTATGCATAGTGGAGCCTACAAAAGGGTGGACCAGAACCCGGCAAGGTATCCATCTGCTGGACACAGAGGTGGCTAGGGCTCAGAGTCCATGCAATGGCACCTAACAATGACAGCAAGCCAGTTGAGAAGGGACCGGACCGCCCATATTCATGTGAGATCAGATCAAAGATCCTGATGGGTTTGCTCACCTGCAGGTAAAGGATGTTGTCTTTGGAAATGGCTTCCATCAAGTCTTTATGAAGGGTGGGCTCAGCCCGCACCCTGGGGGAGCCAGGCCCAGCTTCCAGCCCTTCCCCAGGCCGCTGCCGATAAAAGAGCACATAGGCTGTGTCCTTGGGGAAGAAGGAGGTGACGTTGCTGACAGACTCAAAGGAGGAGAAGGACACTCTGGTGTCATTAAACAGGTACCACTGGTTCTCGGGCTCTGGCCTGTCGGCCGTTCCCAGAGGAGGAGGCAGGCGGGCAGCCCCCTCTCGGGCATAGCAGTAGTAGTGGCCACTCTCCGAGGACACGCCCGAGTGCACCACGACACTGCACAGGTCATAGGCCTGGCCCCGGCCCCCGGCCAGCGGCAGGCGCAGCAGCAGCGGGATGGCCACATCGTCCAGGATCTTCCTGCGCCGCATGGTGCGCAGGTCGAAGGAGAAGCGCAGCAGCGTGAGGATGAGGTAGCGCGGGCCCTGGCTCAGCTCCACCGCCTTCTCCGCGTCCTGCAGGGAGGCGCACGAGTCGCAGTAGTAGCGGTTCTCCGCTGTCAGCTTTTCGGGGGACAGGAAGTAGTTGACGAGGTCCAGGACGGAGCGGGAGCCCTCGGGGCCACATAGCTGCTCCGCAGGGCGGGTCATGTCCCTGCGGGCGCCAGGCCCAGAGCTGTCCTCGTCCTTCTCCTTCTCGTTCTCTGCCTCCTTCTCCTTCTCCTTCTCCACCTTCTCTTCTTCCTTCTCCGCCTCTTTCTCCTTCTCCCCCTCCTTCTCCTTTGCCCTTTCTTCCTTCTCCTCCTCTGCCTCCTCCTTCTCCTCCTCGTGCCGGTCCTCCTCTTCCTCCTCCCTCTCCCGGGGCTCCTCCTCACGGCTGTGCCCAGCGGGCCCAAGGGACCCCAGGCCGGTGATGTCCAGGCCCGTGGGAGGGGCGTCCCCTGTGATGCAGTGTTTCCTTTGCCTCCTCTGACCCTCTGGGCCTGGGGCCTGGGATTGGGGTGGTGGCTGGAGGTCCCGGGTTCGGATCTCCTCTGCCGGGAGCATTACGGAGCCCAGGCGGCGCCGGCGACAGCGCTCAGGCGGAGGAAACGCAAGGGAGAGGTCCGTGAAGGCTTCCTCCCTGGAGGAGACGTGGAGGCACTGCAGACAGCATATCCGAGTCACAATCTTGCCGCCAAACATTCTCTCCACGGAAGTCAAACTTGGGCTCGGGGACTCCTCGGGTGGGGACGGCGAGCTGGACTGCTTGAGCTTCTGGCAGATCCTGGCGCCTGTTTTCTCCTCCTCGTGCAGCCTGCAACAGGGAACACAGGGCCACAGGCGTGTAGTGCACACAGCCCATCTCTGACCTGCCTCGGTTCACAGCCACCCACCGAGTCACGTGCAGACGTGCATATGCAGGGAGGCTTAGGCATGCACGCACAATGCATGCCGGGACGCTGCATGCACTCACACCACCAGGTACATGCTTTATCCTCACCTGCATGGCTCACGTACACACACTGCCTGCATGAAGGCTTGCCAAGTGTGTGTGCACATGCCCCCAGAGCAGAAAGATGCAAACTCATGGACACACTCAGGCAAACAGCTGCCTGCAAACACCCACACTTACCCATCTTCCCTCCCCCACGTGGATGTTTCCATTCAGTATTTCCCAAACTTCCCACCACAATACCTATCACACACCAGGCTCCACTATATGTGCACAAGCATAGCCCAGCTCTTTCATCGCCAGGAAGAAAGCGCACTAGTGGAGATGTGGGGCCTTCCCAGGCACCCTCACCTGACCTGGAACCCCCTGCTCAGAGCCAGGAGCCCCAGCCTCACTTACCGATCCAGCAGGTACTTCAGGTACTCTGAGCAGTCTTGCTGGGTGCCAGGGCTGAACCAAGGTGTCCAAGAAGCAGAGAGAAAATTCTCTGGGGAAATTGCAGGCCGCTGGGACCGAGGCAGTGAAAGACTGAGTTAGGGGTGGGAGGCAGCTCACCCACCAGCTCTCAGAGCACTGAGGCTGAGTTGACTGGGGACTCTGCCCCTTACTGCCTGGCTTCCTCACTGAAGGCCTCCCTTCCTAATTGCCCTGACCCATCCCATCCCATGAAGCCTACACATCTGGGCAGCATCTGGATTCATAAAGATTAACAACTAGGGGCTCAATCCTTGAGCAATTTGCTCTTTTCTGACATATGTCATATTTTCTGTCTTTGCTTGTCGTTCCCTCTGACCAAAACACCCTTCTGCCCATCAAAATCTTCCCTATAGAGTCAAGTTCTAGAAGCATTGTCACCCATTCCACGACATGGCCCCAAGGCTCCGTCTTCCATCCTAATACACCTCTCCGGTTTCCCTGCACAGCGTTTCCCTGTTTAAGTGCTATGCCCACTCCCTGCAGGTCTGGCTGCCAACCATGTAATTAGCTCCAGGAGGGCAGGGGCTCTAGTGTACTCACCTCAGTTCCCCTGCCCAGGGCCCTGCATTACGCCTGGCTAAGGGCTTTGGGGTCTATTAGGAAGAGACAATATTTTTCACTTTGAATCCTTGACACCTGCAGCACGCTGGGCATTGAGGGAGTTCAGCTAAAGACAGAGTGAATGAAGCAAATACCTAAGCACAAAGGACTGGATCACAGGTAGCAGAGACTAGGGCAGAAGAGAAGGCCAAGTGAACAAACCCCTCCTGGGCTATAGGAAACCCGCTGCCATCATGTCAGCCCGAGTCATAGGACCTCCATCTGGTGTCTAAGGCTGGAAATCTTTGAGATAAGAGGCTGCCTCATCTTTCTCCTGAGAAGCAGCTGTCAGATTCAGATCACTGGCCTTTTCATTATCAATTCAAAACCAAACACACTATGCCACCAGAGCTCCTTCTCCTGGCCTATAAGGACATTGAACTGGCCCAGTGGGCTTTGTGTATAAACCTGGACTAGAACTCAGTCACTTAACCCAAGAACCTGGACTAGAACTCAGTCACTTAACCCAAGAAGTGAGAGCTTACAGCAGGTGCAGGCAGGGCATAGGGGAGGTGAAGGGTGTCATGCTGGGAAGACGGGTCTACGTTGTGACCCCTTCCTACCCCCTCTGTGCTCACCTGGCTGTGTTCCAGAAAAGCAAAGAGCCACTGCAGCTTGGTCATCAAGGGCTGTGAGTTGTTCTCAGTCAAACGGAGCACACAGTGTCTGAAGCTTCAAAACAAAGCAGGGATACTCAGAGTAAGATAATGGCACCCAAGCAGCCTCTATATGCCCATCCTGCTGGAAACCAGAGCTCCAGGCTAAGGGCAGAGCAGGAATTTCCAGCTCAGGTCTAGGCCAGAGTCAGGAGAACAGCTCAGCTTGGACTATCTGAGGTCAGAGGCAGGGTGTGCGGGTTTAGATAACAAATGGTTCAACCAGGTAACCCCTGCAATTCCTTCTAACTAAGACACCCCAGGACCCCAGATTCAGAGATCCAGATGTCCTCAGGTCCTATGGTCCCAGGGCTCTAAGGTGTGAACTCTGGCCGACTGTAGATCTGTGTCATTATCACCAGCCACTCACATACTGTTATCCCTGCTTCCCTAAGAAGTGACCTTCAGAGTCATCCAGAATCACCTCAGTGTCCCCATGTGCGCAACCTTGTCGTTGGGAGGACCCTTCGTTACCACTCCCCTGCCTGCAGATGAGGAAGGTAGGAGTCACTCTAGGGAAATGCTAAGAGAAGGAAACGCTGCCAAGGCAGGCCTGCCTCCTCCTCACAGGGTTTGCTCTTACAACAAGGAGGCTCCTTCTGACACCCACATTTCTGAAACAAGCTGGATGCCAGGCCCAGTTTAGTTCCAGTTCCCACAAGAAGCTGTGGACAGACAGTCATGAATTTCTCCAAAGAAAGCCCACTGAGGAATACCCACGGGCCTCAAAGTGGGGACACCCAGCCAGTCCGTGACAAGTTCAGAACTGAATAAACACTTAAGAACTTCTATAGTGCTTGAGTGTGGATAGCTATTATTATACAGGCACATGGTCATTTTTCTGATAAGTTATTTTCATTCTATTTTACAAAAGTAATTCTTTGCAACAGATTAGGACATTTTAAAGCTAAATCAAATAACCAGAACTTCACCACAATCTGACAAGCACAAGAGGCAGCACTTGAGGGTGTCTGAGAGATGAGCTTCCATCCTCTCCTACTGAGAACCGGAAGCTCAGAAGAAACTCCTTTAGTCAATAATTTGAGGTCAACGACCCATCTAGAATGAACCTTACTTACACTATTACTTTCTGAAAAAAAGATGTCTAATACAGAGTTTGGGTGGCCTAGTGATAAGGAACTGAGCTGTCAACACAAAAGTATGTGGTTCAAATCCACCAGCCATTCCATGGGAGAAAATGGGCAATCTCCTGTGCAATTTACAGCCTCAGAAAACCCAGTGGAGAGTTAGCTAAGAGTCAGTTCCAACTCGATGGTGTGTAACAACAATACCAGAGTTAGTAGGAGCTCGACCCTGAAGACACAATTACCCCTTGATCTCCTACTTGCTCTCTTGTGTCACATCTGGAGAAAAGTCAGTGATGACAACAAACCTAGAACAGGCCCCATCCCCAGTGTGGTCTGGCCTCAAGGCCCTTAATGAGTTTCCATCAGTCTTGAGCCACAGTTTGGGCAACGGCTGATGTTTCTCTGGGGTCTCCTGCCTGCCCTTTATGTGCCACAGACCCCAGGAAATCGTGCTTACAATGTAATGCAAGACCCACTCTCTTCAACATCATCCCCAAGTCTACCTCTGTGCATTTCTCACCAGGGAGCCCCAAGAAGAGCAAGAGCAGATGGGGAATCTGAAATCAGCACCTACTCAGAAGCCATGAACAGGGCCTGAAGGATGCTGTTCACATAGCATGTGTTGCCCAGGTTGATTAAACCAATCTTGCCAGTGTCTGACTTGGCCATGAGCCGAGGGTAGAAGCCAGCCAGCTCGCTCTTCTGCGAGGTCCAGGCATCCTGCCCCAGCAGCTGCTTGATGCGGTCCTCATTGGGAACATGAAGGTCCTGCGGAGGCAACAAGCAGACAAGGCAGTGTCCACCAGGATCAACTCTAAAAACACTATTACTTCCGGGAAGCCTCCCAGACACACCACCCTCAAATGCTCCACAGATGTATGTGGACTGGCCCTGCTCATAAACTCAATCCCAGTTTTCATCTTAGCATGCAGACCTTCCATATGATCTTTTGTGTTACAGCTTCCTAAGAAGGTGGAATGATCTCCATTTTGTAGATGTAAAAACTGAGGCTCATAGAGGGAAAGAATATTCCAGGGTTATGGAAGCAATAAGTGAAGGATTTATATGTTCTTAAAAGAGCCCAAGATATGATCCCAAGGTAAGAGCCTAAGCAATGACAATGCTGGTCCACCAGCCATGGCAAGTGGTGTCACAATCTCAATTCTAGTTTTGCTTTATTGTCTTTACTGACTCTCTGGCCACAGTCAGTGAGCCTCCGTGACTCAGCTTCCCAAGATTCCAGTTTCCTTCTTTATCAAGTGAAGATTTGTGGGAATCCAGGTGTTAAGCCAAATGTTAAACCAAATGCTTAATTGGGAGCTGAAGAAGGCACGAAACAAGGCTGTATTTCTCTTGAGAGAGATCACAAGAGATAGGCATTCAGGCAGACCTGTGGAGCCCCCATTATTTCCAACGGTTTGCTCATTAGCCACTTTGTACCTGAGATAAGCAAAAGAAGGTCAGCAGAGAAAAACACAGCCAATTGGTAAAGTATTTTCTCTATGACTTAGATCCTGATAATTATATACAGGCAAGAGAGACTAAGCTCGGGGCTGCAGCCTTGGAGCTGTACACCCTGCCTTTACTCTCTGTTCTGTCCCTCGTTTCCTGATGTCCCCATCTCCTTCATTCGTCCTGGTCAGCAACAAAGATTCTCCGACCTTGTATCAGTCTGGCATTCTATACACCCAAACAATGCTTGCACACAATGATATTCCTGCTTTCACCTCTACTTTTAGATTTGCAGAGCCAGCTTCCAAGAGCAGTAGTCACCCCCCACCTCCGGGACTTGATCCTACAGTCAAGATGGTGGGATTCTAGGGCTATGAGGTATGGGTCCTTGTAGCATGCTTCCCACTCGTTATTCTTTCTCACACTAAACATCTGCATCAAGAACAACAATAGTAAGGACTAGCTCTAAAGAAAACTCTTAAGCAAAATGTCGTGTTATCTCAGTAGATTTAATTAGCCTGTGTGTTTGGGGGGGGCACATTTGTAATTTATGAAGTATATATTTGATCCTTGAAGATAAAATTCTATTTAAGAGAAATTCTGAGCTTGTGTCAGGCTGCTTTTCAATTAAGGCCTTTCTGATATTAAGTGCTTTGGTGACAGCTTTTTTGAAACTTGGACATGCCGGATCCCTACCTCTACCCTCACCATTTCTGACCTGCCTTCCATTCCTTCACCACGGCACCCCTGAAGGGGTGCGCCTCCCACTCCATGCCTTTCCCCGTGACTCCTCTGGACGGTCGCCCTCCTGCCAGTCCCCTCTTCCCTAAGCTTTCCAGGATCCTTTCAAGTGAGCCCAAATCCTATCTGTATGTGTCTTACATATATATAAGCACCTACACAGACTCACCTTCTCCTCTGGACCCCACGATCAGCCCAGTGTGCAAAGATCAGATCAGTATGCAAGGATGAGTCTCATACACCTTCAGCTCCCTTCAGGGTCCAGTACAAGGCTGTATTCTTTGTTTGCATCTATATTACAACACCCTTTACAATAGAGAATGTTGTCATGATAGTTCATACATTCATTCACTCACAGAAGACACAGAGATCACAACCACTTGCTCCTCGCCCACCAGAAGTTCACGACCAGAAGGAAGCAGATAGTAACAGACACCTCCATTCTAATGCCTAAGACTTCAGGTTACATTTCCAGCAAGTCCTGTCTCCTTTGCCCATTCAATTCCAGTGACTGTTAATGACCTAGCAAGGCAATCCTTCTATTGTACGCTAGTTCTATTGGAAATGTCTTTATCATGTTAACGTGGCAAAATTGAGACTCTCCCTGTAGCTGTCACAGGTTCTATTCTATCAACAATGACTCATAACTGATTATTCCCTTTTGTCTTTTATAATTTTGGGATTATAAATTCATCTTTTCATTCAAATTGTACCTGGGTGACTTGAAAGCAGTTTGTTTCTGTTTTAATTCTGGAGAATTATACATTTGTGACTATTTTTAATAAAGTTGGTTTCTGAACTGGGAGTTTCCACAACCCCAGAGAGGATGGAAATGTAAACTTCAGTTCCTAAATCCACATGAGAACAGGCAACTGATTACCAATGTCTTCTTTTTTTTTCAATATAAATTCCAAACTAAGCAAGAAAATGTTCCTTGACTTATATTTGGGAAAACACACACACACACACACACACACACACACACACACACACACACACACGTCTTTCTACAGAGATGTAATTGGCCATCAAGTGAGAACTGACCCACAGCTGACCCTACAACAGGTTTTCAGAAGCAGTAAATTGTATGGGAGGAGGGGAGGAGACTGCCTTTCCTGGGCAGCAGTTGGTGGATTTGAACCACATGACACTGGGACTGCAGTGCAGCTTCTTACCACTTGTTGCTATGTAGAGTTGGAACCAACCTATAGCTGACCCTCTAGCTGCTTTTCAGAGTCAGGATATCACACAGGAGTTGGTTGCTCATCCTTCTCTATGGAAAAGCTGTTGTTGTTGTTGTTGTTGTTAATGTGCCGTCGAGTCGCCTGCGACTCATAGCGACCCTATGTACAACACCCCTAAACTCCACTCTGTCCTGTGCCAATCGCACTGTCTCTGACACTCCCATCCCAATTATCCCAGTCACTGAATCAATCCACCTCATA